AGGGCCACTGGCCAAGCTTCTGCCTGGCTTCCCAACAGTTGTTTATCCGAGAAAGCAACAAGAAGAGGAAAAGCAAGTCAGGTGACGAGCTGGACCTTCCCAAAGGAACACAAGAAGTGAAGCAGAAGCAGAAGGGTCCCACAGAACACTGTCAAGCCTGGGGCTGATGGACTGTACTGTCAGAGAGTGTTGAGACACTTTCTTAAAAGCTGTTTGGTGGCTTTGATGCCAAAAGCAAATCTTACCCCAACAGTTACAAATGAAATGTCCAGTCACAGACCACCTACTCTGTTTTCCTTATACTTCTCTTATTATTCTCACAACAAATGCTTGTCTTTGGCAAGAGACATTAGAACGTCCCTTGCCCTAGCATTGATTTTAAAGAGTGCTACAGCTTAACAGACTCTCATAGACCACTGCTCACAAGGTAGTGATTCAGGAAAAAGGCCCGAGGCAGAGTCTTTGCCAACATGGTGGTGAGTACAGCCCTGGTATTTTCAAATCTGCTGCTAAAATTCTGTTCTGAACCTAGTGACAGAAACAAACAGATGTTGTATAGTGTAGGATATTGTATGCTGTGACTTCAATTGGGAAAAGCATATGACTCATTCCTATAAACTGATTAAAATATTTTCTTTCTTCCATAATTTAGCCACAAGCATTAATTAAAGCATCCAAGAATATATATTTGGACCTATAAATCATTCTAACAAACAAAGCGAAAAGAACAACTACTGAGCACTTAAAACTTTGGAAATGCATTTCCAATAAGCATATTAGAATTGAACATTTTTCTTTAGTAAAGTTAAATTCCAAAAAGGGAAACAAAATCTAAGATGCAAACCAAAGTGCTTTTAAGAATTACCCTGTGGTAAAAGTATTTATCTTAACTTAGAAAAACCAATCTAGCCAGTATTTGTGCTGAGTAATCCATATTTACATACCATAGAGACAATTCTCAGCTTAAAAAAAAAATACAAGAGCTGATTTGTGAGTTGGTGTTAAAACTCAAAATGCATTTATTCATGGAAACAAACTGTGATACGTGGGGAAACAGCCAGGATAGACACACACAGGGCATCATGGGGCATCATACCCTGCAGGCAAGTTGAATGCAGAGGCCACTGTGTTCACTGGAGCAGTGGATCCCAGTCATACGAACAGGGGAGGGAAGACGAGGAAGGGAGGAGACCTCAGAGCTCCCTACACACACCCTGCACTTTCCTGTCTACCTGAATATTGTCAACTGGTTGCTCTATTTTTTCCAGTGAGCCACTTTTGTTGGGTTCCTGTGTGTCAAATATCATGCTGGATCTAGGAATAGGATGTACAAAACTGAAGGAAAATTATTTTAGTGGGAAGAATAGACATTTCAATAAAGAACTGCAAGTAGAAGCATTACTTCTTCTTTGTGGGTTTTTTTGTTTTGTTTTGGTTTGGTTTTTGGTACTGGGGATTGAACTTACAACCTTGCACTTGCCAGGCAGGCACTTACACCATTGAGTTAAATCCCCAGCCCTGAAAGCTTTTGAGATTGCAGAAGTACCTGACTCAAATTGTGCACATAAAGGAAGGTTCTCTAGAAGATGTACCATCTAATCGGAGACCCAAATATTAATAACAGTTAATCAAACAAGAGGAAGGGGCCAAATAGTCCAGGGAAACTGCAAGTACAAAGTCCCTAGCACATGAGGTATTGGGCTGTAGGGTAGGAAGAGGTGGGATGGGTCCCCTTTTGAAACTGTTGAATGTCATGTCTATGAAGCATAAGTTGCCCTGAAGGCAACTGGGTAAGGAGTGAATAGCTCAGGAGGGAGGGCTTGGTTAAGAGTGCAGATTTGAGGCGCACTGGCACATAGACAGTGGGTGTGGGCAGTGTCACCTAGGGAGAGTAGACCTCAAGAAGCCAAGAAAAAATAATCAAAATGCAGAAAGAGGTCGCTGGGGAAAAGGGGCTTTGGGGAATCAGCTAAGCCAAGAGTGAAATCTTCCGCTGCACTTTGTCCCACTACCGCCAGTGACTGGGGCAAGAACAGTCTCCAGCAAGGGAAAGGACGCAAGACAGATGGAGTGAGCTGAGGAGGGTCTGGGAGGTATGACGGGACAGGCAGTGGCTCTGACTCTTCCAGGTATTGCTAAGCTAGATGGGGAACGTTGGAGTGGGGCATGCATGTAGGGGCACCCTCTTTTTTGTTTGCTTAGAGGGAAGAATCAGGAAAGAAGGCATTCATTAGAGAGTGGATAGGAAAGGGCTCTAGGGGTGGGGGACAGAGATGGGAGGGAGGAGAGAGAAAAGGGAGATAGAAAGTGTGAAGATGTGATATGTTTGTGTACTGATTCCCCACAATGAATGCATTTATTATAGATTGTAAGCACACAGTAATAAAAAATTTGAGAGTGAGGGAGAGAGAGAGAGAGAGAGAGAGAGAGAGAGAGAGAGAGAAGATACTGGAAACAAAAAACTCCAGTGAGGTTGCTAAGGCTGGGTTGGGACACCACATCCAGAAAGAGGACCAGGGCCCGGGGGAAGGGTCAGGCAGGACGGCTGTGTGTAGGCGGGGAGGGGAGCTGGCGCAACTGGCAGTGAGAGATGAGCAAATCCTTGCAGAGGAGGAAGGCAGAGTGCTGCAGAGGGAGGGGAGGAGGGCACAGGCCGCAGGGCAAGGGCACCCTGAGGTCACAGTGCTCCCTGTTTCTTTGATCTTCGAGCTGCACCTTCTCACCCTACTCAACACTCAGCTCCTTGTCCATTGGGCAGCTGCTAAAGGGAAGCACTGGGATTAAGCCGGTTTATGCTGATTGTCCACTCCTGAGCTGATAACCCCACTTCAGGCACTTGCAGTTCAGTGCACAAGATCTTGTTTACCTGAATAAAACTCTAATTTAAGAGTTTTCAAATAGAACTGCAGTCAGTAGTTGCAGGCAGTGGGCCATGATAACTATCCACAGCCCACCCTTGCACTACCTCTGGCCTGCACATCGATCCAAAGAACCAAAGATCAGAAGGCAGGATGCTCTACAGACTTCCATGTGCAGAGGAGATGTCGTGCAGCCAGCTACTTGGTGGAGGTGGACACGAAATGCCCAAGGCACACTCCTGCCTGTTCTCCCAGCTCCCGCTGCCCCTGCCCTGGAAGAGCTCGGAGTCTGGGGTTCACGGCTCCCGAAGTAACCAGCGCAGTCGAACTCATTACCCAGGTGAGTCTAGCCTCCTCCATAGCACAGGAAATGCTGTTGTGTCACGTTCACATTGTGTAGTTTGCATAAATGGTGAAGAGCTGCATCCTTTTCCATTGGAACTTACCTTGCACATGGTGTGCTCTGATGGTCATTGTAATCGTTTGTAATAGATCATCATTAAAGAACACATTAGCATCTGTTACTGCAGTCTTGTGCATTGGAACTGTCAGAAACGTGTATGGGCTGGAAGTCCTTCTATGGATCTCTCAGCTGTGTGTAAAGGTGACAGTGTGTGAGCATGATCCTGCACCTTTGGGCCCAAGGGTGCACCCACACACACGGAATTCTCCCTTTAAACCTGTACCTATCAGCTGACCTGGCCTGTACTCAGACTCCCAGGTAAAGACCATGGTGTATGGAATCAGAAACTGACTTTTAAAATATATTACTGATACTGCCTAAAGAAAAGCAGTCACTGTGGAGGGTTTGGAAAACAAAAGGCACCAAGACAAAATAATTTTAATTTCCAGAGGTAATCATTGAAATCTATTTAATCCATTTTGTTTTATTCTCTGTCTGTCTCTATCTCACTGTCTCTGTCTCTCTCTCTTTCGTGATTGTATCTCTGTACAATTTTGTGTCTGCCTTTTTCATTGAATGAGTCAGGAAATGTAAAAGCAGTAACAGACCCGCTTTATTTCCACATTTTTCCCCTTTATTTTTCTCTTTATATCTTTCCTTCCTCCTTTGCCAATATTTCTTTATTTTGGAGCATTTCCATTTTTATCCCAGTCCAATTCAAAACATAAAACAGTTTATGCTTTTTGAGTTTTATTTCCTCCCTACACTTGTTAAAATGGACCAGTAAAAGAAAAGTTTTCCAGAGTATGATAGATCCACCTCCAACTATATAACTGTTTCAATTTAGAGTCTTAGGATAATGATCTGCCACCATATGTGGGTTATAACTTGAGGTTTGCATAAAAATGTGTCTTGGATGAAGTGCGCCACAGTGCCAAGTAGCTGGCTGGCCTCTAGAAATGACTGTTCTGACATTTACTTTCTGGTCAGGGGAGCTGACTAATGAAGGCCCAGTGAACAAGGGAGCAGGCGTGTGACTTCAGATGTGGGCCCTCCCCACAGAGGACCTGTGCACTCTGTCACAGCTTTCCTTCAGGGCACGCACTCTGCATTGGGAAGCAGTGATCTCATTTAAGGCTACACTTGTCCCGGGCACTGAGGTCAGCCACAAAGCTATTGGAGAAGAGAAGCCAGCCTTAGGAAGCGGTTGCTTTGCAGGGGGAGGAGTGTATCTTAACAACTTCGTTTTTGAGACCCCCAGAGGCTACGAGCCTGAAAGATGAAACACAGAGCAAACCTCAGGGCCATCCGCCCCCTCTCCCTCTCTATCACTACCATTGCACAACACAAACAAAAACAAATGCTTTCAACTCTGCTTTCCGAAACCCAGGCCCTTCCCCCACATCTGTCTGTTACTGCTTCTGCTTGGATTATTTTCATCTGGGTTGTGTTTCTTTGACCAAGGGCCAGGCCCTTGTCTTTGTCTATTTGCAAAGTGCCATGTTTACTTACCAGTCTTTAGAAATTACAGACAACACTAGGAATGCACAAGAACTGGCAGCAGAGCCCTCACAGCTTTTTCTGGACTAATGTTCTGCTGGCGAATGAGGCTGGACTATTTTTATAAGGAAGGATTGAAACATTCTAATCCCAAAACACTAAATGAACTCACCATTAGCTGTGTGTAATCCAGTGCATTGCACTGGCGCGGAGACTCTGCTATGTGCCTGGTTCACTGGATGCCAGACTAACAAGCCACTGCTGTGTGGTCAGGACAAAAGCAGCCTGCCCCTTCCAGGGAGCCAGGGAGCCAGGCAGCCAAGGACCCAAGGAGCCAGCCTCATGACAGCTTCATGACCACCACAGCGAGGGTTAGACTTCACGCCACCCTCTGTCCTTTCAGTGCCAAACTCCTGGAGACCCAGAAGTTCCTTGGACAGGATGGTTCTCATCTTGTGATATGGCTCTAGCTGTTCTCAACTTGCAGAATTTAGGGTCCACAGGAAAGAGAGCTGAGCGTTGGAGAGACGGATGTGTGAATGTCTGGACTGTACTGAGAGGCGCAATGGGGCAGGTAAGGATAGCAAAGGCTAAATACCTCTCTTCCTTCCATTTCTTCTTTCTTCCTCTCTCCCTCCCTTCTTTCTCCCATTTATTTTTACCTTTCTTCCTCCCTTCTTTCCCTCTTCTTTCCTTCTGCTTCTGTTTTCTTTCTTCCCACCCTACTATAATAAATCTTTCTCTTTCTTTTCCTTTTTCTTTCTTCTTTTCCTTCTCTATTTTCTTTCTTTACAACTGAATTTTGTAGGAAATTGTCTGCTCATTTGACTACAGACATGACTCCATAAGACAGAAATAGCTTAAAAATGACATTTGAGAGTCTAATGCTTAACACTGAGTGCCTCCCATTGAGGTGAGGTTGGATAGCAGAATAGACTTAAAGGCATCTGTCCCCAGGGTCCCCAACCCTGGAAGACAGCAACAGCACCCCAGCCCTGGGAAAACAGCAGAGCAGACCAAGGAGACGCTGCTGACTGAGAGATCTAGGTGCAGTTGATGCACCCCACAGAAGTACCCCTTTCTTTCATCACTGGGCTCACACCAAAAAGGGTTGGAACCATCCTATGCGAGGCCAGGAAACTTTTAGTTGAAAGCAGAAGTGTACTAAATTTAATGACCTGGGCAGCTGCAGAGGTCATTACAATAGAATTCAAACTAAACCACAATGCATGGGACACTGTGGTCTTTCTTTTAAAACAACTCTGAAAAGTCTGAGGCCAAACTCCATCAGAATATAACCTTTATATTTTGGAGATCGATTTAATCAAATTTAACCACACACACACACACACACACACACACATCAGGCTTGGAAATTTATGTTTTCATCCCAGATTTGCTTCCAAATGTCCTTTGTTGAAGAAAAATAGTTAAAAATATGTTTTGAAACAATTGTTACTATTGTAAGAAAAATTTTTAATGAGAACATTGTTCAATGTAGTCACATTTTGTTTCTAAATATAAAGAAAATGATTCACAGATGCTGATTTACAGGAAAAATAATAAAGTATGTAAACTAAAACGTATTCGAGGAAAGGATAGAAATCCTCATTAGAAACCACTCCATAGTAAGTACTTCCTTCTCCCAGGCTGCCCAGGAAATCCCAAATTCTAACTGGATTTGCACGGGGCCACAGATGCACACAGGGGCCCCTTTTATGGCAGCCCTGAGGACCAGCACTACAGATATGCCCTCTTACAGGAATGCTCACACTACCAGGGTAGAGCGCCAAAATCTGCATGCTCACCTGCATTCCAGGTCATTCTGCTACAGGTGGAGCATGGGCCACACTTAAGGAAGTCACTTTCCTTCCTTCAGAATCCTGCCTGCAGCTGCCAGTTGAGATTTATCAGACCCATCCTATGGCTTGATTAATGCCTGAGAGAGGGCATCCTGTAAAACCCAAAATTGTGAAATCCACAAAAGAAATCATTAGAAACGATGGAGCCCTTGTTTTGAACTGAGATTGTGAGCTATTTCCTTACAATTAACTTAAACATTTATACATAGGTTAGACTCTCATAAATTGAAGACATGGTTCTGGAAATGCAGCCTTATCTCTGCCATATCATATTACTGTCAAAATATACCTCCTCCTCCCTTCCCCTCCCCCCTCCCCCCTCCTCCCCTCCCCTTTCCTTCCCCCTCCCCCTCCCCCTCCTCCTCTTGACTCAAGAGGACCCTAGGAGTCTGCCACTGGGAGGTTGGACTTTCTGCCCCATTGGAGTTGGGTGTGGCCATGTGACTTATTTGGCCAATGAAATGAAAGTAGGAAGTGGGGCTGCTGCAGTGAGCAGGAACTCACATTGGCTCTGCCTTCTGCCTTGAGAACAAGATGTCCCACCCCGGAACTGCTTCTGAAGTCTGGACCTGAGAGGGAAGGATGAATAGTCAGCAGGGTGGATGTACAGCAGAATTCACAGCCATCAAGGTCGAAGAATAAACCTGAGCTACTGAATGTCCCTGAGACTGCAGGGTTGGCTGGTGCTGCAGAGTGGCTTAACAACCAGCCACTGTCAAAGCTTCTCATTCATACTGGTGAAATACTAAGTAAGACATGGCTGGAGGAAGTGCCTGGGTTCTGGCTCTGTCTGAAATTCCCTTTTGTCATCTGAATTTTCTGTGTTCACCACCAATATGGGCTGCATTTTAATGGCATATTTAATATTAACAGCAGAAAATTATGAATCATCTTGTAAATACTCAAAGTTCAGAGTTGAAATACCAAAACATCGTCAGCTGTATCTCTTGTCATTTCTTAATAACAAAGAACATAGCTCACTTCCTACACTTACATAGAGAGAACTTCCACCCATAACTGATTAGTAGAGCCACAGTCTGTATGTATCATTTTACAGCTTGTTGCCCCAATTTTCTGTTCTAACTGTGCTACAATCTGTCCTTGTGCCTCTGTGGAGCTATGATGGTGTGGACTGGTATTTATTTGCCTCCACCTTAAGACTGTAGAACCAACAATTTCCTTGAGACCATGCTTTTAAGGCATTAACATGGGCTCCGTAATATTTCCTGTATAACATTATCAAAAATCTTTGTAGAAAATAGGATTTCATTGTTGAACTATTTCATGCTCCCCTCAACCCCAGCATGCTAAGTCAGTAACCATTTATCACCGTCAGAGGACACTTCTGAGTTCAGACAGGTGGGAGAGAAAGTGGTAGGTTGTGAGGCATTCACTGCAGATTGTCTCAGCTCCATCACTGCTGAGAACGGCTCACTTCTCTGTTGCTCACACGTAGACTTCCTGTATTATCATAGACTAATATCCTCAATCTAGTTGAAGCACAAAGAAAGACATGTATTAAAGATAAATATGTCTGCGACTTTGTCAACTAAAGTCTTAGTAGCAGAAACAAGAAAAACAAGTGACAGACAGCTCAAGTTCCCCTCTCCAGAATTCTCTATTTCTCTGCTGCTATAGTTTAATCTGAAGCGTGCCCTGAAAGCAATGTAGCAAAGGCTTGATCCCAATGAGTCACTATTGGCAGCAGTGGGATCTTAAGAGATGGAGCTAAGGGGGAGGTTGTTAGGTGACTGGGGTATATCCTTAAAGGGCATCGTGTGGTGCTAGCCCTTTCCTCTCCTTCTTTTCTTATCCTCTGGAAATGAGGTGAGTGTTTTGCTCCAACATGAACTGCTGCCAGGATGTTCTGTGTTGCCACAGACCCAAAGTAATAGGCTCAACCAGTCATAGACTAGAGTCTCCAAAACTGGGAGCTAAAATAAAGCTTTTCTCCTTACCTGTTGGTTGTCTCAGGTATTTGTTACAGTGATGGAAAGTGGACTAACATACCTGATCCAGTTTCCAAGATGGGATGTAGCTCTCCGCAGCCCTGGGTCCCACATTTTATAATTGCAGTTTCAACCACAGGAGGACTCTCTCCATGACTCTCAACCCCCAAATCATCAATTCATCAAATATTTTTCAGCCACTCAGAATGTTCCAAGCACTTCAACTGGTGCTTGAGATACAAAAGGCAATGAAGAAGAGCTCTGGGGGCGGGGGAAGGGGGGCAGAATTATTTTCCATAAACAAAGTGACCAGAAGACCAACTCTATAGGTTTCATCGAGTCCTCAGTGAGGGTCTTTGCCAGCCGGGCAGACACCTGAAAATGTGACTCATATCAAATGAAAATGCCAAATGGGAGCCTTCTGCCTTTTTAATTTCACCCTCACAACAGGCTATCTCACATGGCACGTTCTTGCACACTTTTCCGGTGTAGGGGTAACCAGTCAGTACCGTCCTCAGTGTTTAGGGACCTGGGCACATAGTGCAAGCTGAGCAGTGGGCACAGGAGCATAGCTGCCTTGGTCACCTTTCTCGTTGCTGAGGAACATACCTGACACTCCAAATTAAAAGAGGAAAGGTTTACTTTGGCTCATAGTTTGCAGAGGTTTCAGTCTATACTTAGCTGACTCCAAGGCAGGGTGGCATGGCAAAGGAGCACCACAGAACAGAGTTAGTTGACGCCAAGAAAGCCAGAGGCAGTGAAGCAGCAAACAGCATCAGCGGCAGTGGACATTCCTTCCTTCTCTCCTTTTATATTCATCTAGGTTTCCCCCCTTTCAGGTGGTGCCTGTCACAGCCAGGGTGGGTCTTCCTACTTTCCACACCCAGAAATATTCTAGACCAATCAGGGGACTGATTTAGTAATCACATCCCTTAATTCCACCATCACAACCTAGATCCAGTCATCCCCCAAAACTCCCACCTATGACACATGGGCCCTGGGAGGAGATATCTACACGCGAGCCGTAATGAAAGTTTCATCCGCTTTCACAGAAGCTCCTCATCACTCACAGTACTGACAGAGCTCCATCCCTGTCAGGTAAGCAGTGGCATCAGAGTCTCATAGAAGAATGAACCCTACCGCAAGCTGCAATGTGAAGGATCCAGGTTGTGTGCTTCTTATGAGAATCTAACGGCTGATGGTGAGAGGTAGAGCTGAAGCAGTGATGTTAGCACTAGGGATACACAGATAGCAAAGATAAAAACAAAAACAGGGGTAATAGAAGAAAAGATAGATGAAGTCAGCATTCTTTACAGTTCTTTTGAAACTCATGATCCTCAAAATATGATCCAATGACAACCAGAGCTTATTTCTGAATGAATTAACAGTTTTTTAAAACAGCATTTCTGAAAGCTGTCTCACCCTAAGCTATGTTGTTCTCACAACACGTTCTATTCAGGTCTAGAGGGGAAGAGAAGTGGAAATATATAGTATCTTAGTCCATTTTCTATTCCTGCTACAGAATACCTGGAACTGGATAACTTATAAAGAAAAAAGTTTGCCCAGCTTTTATAAGGATCTCATGCTGCTTTAACTCATGGTGGAAAAACACATTCCAATGAGAAGGCTCAATCCATTCATAAAGACTCTAACTTCATGGTCAAATTTCCCCCTCTAGGCCTCATCTCCTTAACAGCTACAATGAAGAATTGAATTCCCAAAACATGAACTTTCAAAGGGCCCACTTAAACCATGGTACTGATCAAGGATGCCCTGGGCCAGTTCCAGGTAGAGATGTATGAAGGTATGACATGGATGATTACTTGGCTAATTGACTTCGACTTTGGTACAGTGAAAATGATCAGACACAGAGCAAGGCTCTGAACTGAGCTCCTCCAGTCTTGCTGGGGAAATAGCACAGCCAAAAAGTAAACTCAAACCAGGAGTGAGAATAGAAATTAGGTCTTTACCCAATCCTACCACAGAAGAGTGGAATTCCACTGAAACATGATGTGCCTTCACCACATAAAGGACAGTTCTATTTAAAGAAAAAAGAAACAGTTGCAAGTGGTAAATATTAATCCAATAAAGAATACAATTGCTAGCTTTGTATCCCCAAAGACAAACCCATCAACCCAAAGAATGTCTCAAACGGTAGCAGCATCAGAGGGCACAAAATGAATGATTTCTAGGAAAGAAAGAAGGAAATGCAGGCAAAGAAGAGGAGATGGACAAAGGCCTGGAGCCATAATGAACACAGGGACTCCTGGTTATTTCAGATTTCTATTACAGGGCAGGGAGAGTGAGCCAAGAGGCCTGCAGAGCAGACAGAGAACTCGGCTTTATCTCATGGTATGGAAAGCCCTTGGTGGTGACCTGCTTTGAATTTTGGCTGCTGTGGAGAGGCAGTCCTCTCTGAGTTTCTCACTTTTTGGCATGTCTTGCAAGGGAGATACTCACTCATCTTTCATTCTGAATTATTTCTTCAAAGATATTCATGTAACAAGTATCTTCAAAAGATAGAAGGCAACTCCCTGAAGCATGGTGCTTGCAGCCCATATGAAAGATCCAGGTTCCCTAAGCTTGGGGTTTCTTGACTGACATAGAACCCTACTACATACATGTGTGGCATCCATCTGGGTCACTCCATGTTGCCTCTGTGAGACTCAAAGAGTAAGAGGAACTGAGGAGAATGTGAAATTTTTGCAGCATGTTAGACCAGAAGTTCTAAAATCAAACCCAGGAAGCTGATAGCACCCAGGATGACTTGTCAATTTGCAAATGAGGTAAAATCTCAGATCCCTCACAGTCGTTAGATCAAAAATAGCTATATGTTGGCCCAATAGTTTGAAGTCTATTCAAGTGAGAGATGCTAAGTTTCATTTTTAAAGAAAGCTACAAAAATAAATATAGAGAAGAGACAATAGATTTTAGAAATGTTTAGAAAGTTAAATTGACAGAACTTGTAATGGTTTGGATGGGAGAGATGGCAAAGGAAAGTAATCATACATGATTCCAAAGTCTAGCTTGATGTTTGGGTCATTGGTGGGGCTTCTAGAGTACTACTAGAGAAAGAATCTGGCTTGGAAATAGAACAAAGAGAGCAGTGTCAGGGGTAACCAAAACTAGAGGTGTTCGTGGGATACCCAAAAAAGAATGAACAGAGAATATCTTAATTCTAAAGCTCTCACAAAGTAGGGTCAAAACTGTAACCCACGTAGAAGTGGAGGTCAACAAATGTAGGTGGTGTGGAGCCACCTCTGAGATGGCCCTTAGTGATCCTGGCTCCTTGCACTCATACCCTTGAGTAGCCCTCCTACTGTATCGATACAGTAGGTCTGTACAACAGTAGAACACAGCAGAAGCGAAGGCACATGAGTATCAAGATCAGGACAAAAAAAGCCCTGAAATTTCTCAAGAGAGATATCCTGGTATCTCTCTTGGATCGCTTGCTCTGGGGAGCCACATATTGAAGACACTCTGGGTCAGTGATAGCTAATCTTTTAGAGCTTTTAATCACAACTAACTGGCTGTGGCACACAAGCCATAGGTTCACCATCACTGCTCCAGATCTTCCGTGGGGTGGGGAGGTACGGTCCTAGGTGCACCAGCTGCAGTAGGAGCAGATCATAACTGTAGGCAGATCTTCAAATGGTTGCAGCCCTGGCTGATACCTTGATTCCAACCTCATGAGCTAGAGCCACAGTTATAGAGGCTCCCAGATCAGAAATAAACTATGTGAAGTTATAAATGCTATTTTAAGGTGCAAAGTCTTGAAGTGATTTATCATGCAGTGTTAGATCACATTTCAGTCACCACCACAGTCTACATCCTTCCACCTTCTACATCACCAACTCTATCACTCACGCTGTTCCTCCTCATCTCTACATAAATATTTTACCTCTACCCTCCACTTTGCCTCCTTTGGTTTTAGAGGACTCACCCTGACACCCTGCCCTAAGCCAACTTTGCCTCCCTTTCTTCTTCCCCC